AGTTGTGGAGTTTGGCAAGGATGGTATATATTTAATGGGCAAGTGTAGAAACAATTTAGAATTTTGTAAGTCTCTATCAAGTCCCCCCGCAAACGCCTCTGTTTTAATGTGGTGAGATTTAACATCGCAAGACGATCTTCATACTCTAGATCCTTAAGTTCATGGGGCATTTTTGTCACCTTGCGTTGAATTTTCTCGATGAGATCAATATCCTTCTGAAAATAGGGACTCCATATTATTTGACCATATTCTATTTTGGGTCTAATGTAGGACTTGTATATCTTTAAAATAAGATCAATAGAGCGGTCTTGAAATGCTCTTTGAATGAAATAAAGAAGAGAATTTGCTTTTTTAGTAATCTTTGATATATGCACATACCATTTTAGGTTTCCAGTAACTGTAATCCCTAGATCTTCCTGTTGTTCTACATGTCTTAGACTTAATTCATTTAGGGTGTAGGTTTTGTGCGTACAATTCATTCCAATGCTAAGAACAGTGCATTTGTCCTCATTCAGTTTCATTCTCCATTGTTTGGCCCAGGATTCCACCAACCTTAGATCATGCTGAAGATTGACGTAGCTCGTTTCGGGATTTGCATATAACTTTGTATCATCCGCAAAAAATATGATATTCGTTTTTATGCCTCTTGCCAGATCGCTGATATACAGGAGGAACAACAGTGGGCCCAACACAGAGCCTTGAGGACACCGCTGGTCACTTTGTGTTTAGTTGAAAGAGATCCGTTTATTCTGACTTGGAAGTAGCGTCGGGTTAGGAAGTTTGATATAAGTTTGAATAAATTCCCTCTTATGCCGTAGTGGTTTAGTTTATAAAGAAGCATCTGGTGGGGTACTTTATCAAATGCCTTTTCAAAGTCAAGATAGATGACGTCTGTTTGTTGGTTTCTATCAAAGGCTGCTGTCCAATCGCTAAGACAAGATGTCATGTTCGTTATTGTGGATCGACCAGGAAGAAATCCATGCTGTGTGCTGGGTAAGACATCTTTTTCCATTAGGTATGGAGTAAGTGTGCGGATGATTACCTTTTCCATGCATTTACAGATGCAGCTAGTTAGACTAATTGGTCGGTAATTACCAGCTAACTGTCTGTCTCCCTTTTTGTGAAGCGGTGTAACGAAAGAAAGAGACCAAGTATCTGGAAATTTGCCAGATATTAGTAAATCATTAAATAGACATGCTAAAGGTTGTGCGAGGGCATGACAACATTTCTGAAGAAAAACAGTCGGTACACTATCTGGACCCGGGCTGCTGTCAGTTTTTAATGATTTTATGGCTTCGCTAACGTTGAGCTCTGTAAATTCTATGTTAGTAATCTCTTGCAGAAGCCTAGAACTCTGTGAAAGCGTTGGAATGTAAGAGTCATTGGTTGTCGTAAAGACTGATGCAAACCGGTGTGCAAATTCCTCAGCAATGTCACAGTCGTCCATGATAGGTAATCCATTGTTGGGGTTTTTAAGAGTGAAACTGGATACTTTTGTAGACAGAGTCCTATTAATATATTTAAAAAATTGTTTTGGTGAGCTGGAAGAGGCGATAGATTTTTCGTAGTTTTGTCTAGCACTTGCGAGTGTTGTTTTCCGTCCTGTATGCAGTATAGTTTTCGGGTGTTGGCGATTTAATATATTTATCCCATAATTTTCGTTTGTTAGTAATTTTTTTAAAAATATTCTGATTTATCCATGGTTTTTTAGAATTGATTATTTTAGTTGTAAATGGGACAAATTTTGTAATAGCTTCGTCAATAATTTTGGTGATTTTTTCATATCTGTTTTCTTCCAAATGTGAAGGGTCAAAATTCAAGTTTTCTGCAAGAAATACATTTATTTGTTCATAGTTGGCTTTCCAAAAGTTTTGTTTTCGTATTTTATTGGTAGATCTAGTTGGATATTCGAGTTGCGTTTTTCCAGTAATAACCAAATGGTCACTGCGGCCCAATGGTGAATCACTTTCTATGTTGTAAATCAGTTTCTTATTATTTACTAGAAACAAATCCAGAAGCGCATCCTGATCACCCCTGAAACGTGTGGAAAAATCTATTATTTGATAAATATTCGTTTCATTAAAGCTGTCCAAAAACAGTTGATTTAGTTTCTCAGTTCTATATAGTGTTTTATTGTTCCAGTTGATTTCAGCATAATTGAAGTCTCCAGTGATGTAGACTGGTACGTCCTCTGCACACACCTCAGCTAATACATTTATCATATTCCTGTCTGATTCTTCGTTCGAGTGTGGTGGCCTATATATACATGCCACAATAAACCTTAAACCAGCAATTTTGATGTTCAGCCATACTGATTCAATAGGACTTATGGTTCTATATTTTTTGGATACACTAGAGTATATTTTCTGTCCATTCACTTGTTCCTTTACAAAAACACACACTCCACCGCCTCTTTGTTGATTGCGGTCTTCCCTAAAAATATTATAACCATTGATATCTATCAGACTGTTTCTAATGTCAGCATTCAACCAGGTTTCAGTTATTAATATGCATAGAGGATCGTGTTTTTTAATTGAGATAAAGAATTCGTCGACCTTATTTACTATGGAACATACATTGCTATACCAGAACGACGCCTCTAGAATTTGTTTATTTGTATGTAAAACTTATCTTAGAATGGGAATTATCGGAAACAAGAAACAGCCATCTTATCCAAAATAGTGAAGCAGCATTAAAAGCGACCAACTCAGTAACCATCATTTCGGAGTTAGTCAAAGGTTACTTAGAGAAGCTCAACAAATTAGGCGAAGATAATAAAGTCCTACTACTCTAGATGCCAGCCCACGAAATAATAGAAGACAATGAAAATGCAAACAATCTAGCTAGAAAACCTGGAACTCAAGAACATTGAAGAACTCCGTAACATGGAATGGGAATCCTCCAAGAGTCGAAAACAGTCAAAGAAATTTCTCTTTTTGAAAAAACTTATGATCGAGAAGAATCAAGATTCATCTGGATTTAAGTAAGAACGATCTTGTGATTGTCTCCTAAGCGAACATCTCAGTAGATTGAATCTAAGAAACAACGGCAAATGCAGATTCTGTGGGAAAAATGAGAAACACCAGAACACCTCAACACTGAGTGCGCCGAGATGACAACCATTCGTGCCACGAACTTTGGTACGATTAATATCGGCGATGAAGAACTATCCTCAGTAAAAGCGTTTTAGATACTTTTTTTGTAAAAGCCCTGAGACTATATTAAGGGTTATAACTCGTTAAAGGAAGACACAATACATCTGTAAGTTTGCGGTGATTAACTCCCCTTCCCTACATTCTACATTCTACAAGCTCAGACTTGAACATATATATTAGCGACATTTGCTTTACTTGGCCATAAATCTTTAATCAACGTAAAATAAATTTGAGAGACAAATTTTATCCTTTAAAAACCTTTCTCATTAAAGGCGTTCCTGAGGGTGCCATATGTAACGTCTCTTGACGCAGTCGAACAAGTTGAAGTCCTTTTGGGACGGAACATAAATTACTTAGAGTATTTATTTTTGTTAGAGCTCTTCTAAAGAATGTTGTAAAGTAGTCTTTGATGAAAACAGTTTAATTTTTTGCACTTACTGTGATACTTAAATGATATTATTATATAATTATAATTTTTATTGGCAAAACAATTGAAGCACAATTACAAATATATATTTTTTAAGGCTATTGTAAATTTAGTATTAGTATTATGCATAATTGTTCCCCTTTTTGACCATATAATGTAATAAATTCAACTAATATTTAATATAATTAATCGTTAGAATACATCCTATTAATGCAAACAATGAAGCACTAAAAACTAACAAAAGCACGTCCTAATAAAATCCAGTCATATGTAAAATTAATATGTTGAATAATTAAATTTGTATAGGTATTAACGGTACAATAAATAATATCACAAATTATATTTAATTTATTTTTTTGTTTAGCACAAAAATTATTTTTTGTGCTAAACAAAAAACTTTGCTTATGGGCTTCTTTCTAGTAAGTTCTCTTTCTAGTTTCACTTCTAGTAAGTTCTGTGGTTGGAATAAGTTCTGGTCCCGAAGCAGTTCTTATTCAATCTTCTTCTTATAGTCCGTTAGTTAATATGTACGTTCCTTAAGTGCAATTCATTATCAATTTGTTATGCTGGAAAACGGCGCGGCGCGGCGGTTTCTTAGCGATAAACTTACACTGAGTCGATCGTCTCGATTAGAAGTACTCCTACGAAGATTCCTGGACTTCTAGGTTGACGTACTCATGTACGTGGTCGTAATTCAAACACCACTTAGTATACTCTACGGTATTAAGGTATTTTTGGAATCAGAATTTTATAGCAAATTTACTGAACAAAACAAATATAGATATATATTTGACTCACCCTGTATATCTATAAAAATATTTTTGAAATGTGAACTATCATTAAACACATATTTTGTAAAAGGTTTGGAGTGAAAATCTCAAATAGGATCCTGATACAGAGCTTTTCCGGAATACGGAGCCATTTTGTATGTATGCATTTGTATATGTGTGTTTATTTAAATACTATAGTGAAAGCAACGAATTTAAACGGGTAAACTTTGTAATATATTTTATTAACAATACAATACAAAAAGTTTTATAAAAATTTGTTCACAGTAAAGGAATTCCGAGGTTTGTATCCCAGAAAGGCTTAAAGTACTCCTATAAGTAAAAATTATTTTTGAATAGAGTGGTTTAAAACTGGAGAAAAATATTTTTTTTTGGAAATAGATTTATCCTTTTTTAATCTTTCTATAAACAGTGCTAACTTCTGAAAAGTTTGATGTCAATTTTTTAAACGACTTCTAGATATTGATTACCTTTGGCGCCTTTTTTTCGATCATACGGTATTAAATCGTGTAGAGGTATTCATCCCAGTGTGATGGTATCAGTATTTTTTAATATAATTACAAACTATATAAAAAAGCAATCGAGAAATTATGCTAAAACCAATAGATATTAATAGAATTCATTTTTTAGGTTTTTCTGGGGGTACCATATGCCACCCCGCCCGTCCAATCAAATCGCTTCAGTCCGACGCGCACCCCATCGCCATGGGACGGTGTTAGGGTGTCCGACAAAATGGGCCCAGTTTGCCCCCAAAAACTACCGGATATCTCCAACGAGACGGCAGCACTGGATCGTATGCCCAAAGGACGATTGGAGTACTTGAAGAGATTGCTTCCATATCTGAGGAACCAGAGCGAGGATTGTCTGTATTTGAACATATTCTCACCGGCACAAGGTAGGCATTAGATTTAGGTCTGTTGGAAATAAGTAAACACTGATGGAGTTAATTATATAAATATCACAGAGGTTGTTAGAACAGTTATTTGCAAATAACAGTTAAAATTGTTACGGTTATTTATGGATTTAGTTGTTAAAAAAGTCTAATGTAAGTATGTCATATATAGGATGATTCACGGCGATGGCACGTTAGACTTTTATGGAGAACCGGTGATAGACACTTCACCTTCATTCTACATAAAGGCGCCTGTTCCATCTATCTAAAATATATTTTCAGTGTTGTCGCATCATTTGTAACGTAGAACACCCGGTATATTATTACATTTTTGGAAACTACTTTCATATCTCAGAATTTTTCTATTATTATACTAACCTATACCTATCTATAACATTTTTTGAGATAATAAATAAAACATAAATATGTAAAATTGACAAAAACATGATCTTGAATAAGCATTGGTAGAATCATGAATTGAACATTTTAAAAATTAAAATTTGGGTTATATGTTAACGAAAGTCTATATATTCGATCTGTCTTAATCAACTTATTGGATATTACACAGAGAGAACCAAAAATTGTTTATTTCCGTGTGTTATCAAATTGCTGAGTCTCAAAAGTGTCTCCAAACCAAACCCTATAACTTTTTTATTTAAAAAAAAACGAGATTTGGTATGTTAGTATATGACTTAAATTAGGATTGATTGACATATTAAATTGTTTTCGGTCACTTCCGGTTTTACCGGAAATGACTACTGTAGTCAGTTACAACTTTTGATTTTTAAACGACACCCCCGGTATTTTTTTACTTTATTCGTTAGAAAATGTCACTCTGAATAGAATGACATATGATATGTAAACTTTTGACATTTTCGCATATGGTTTATTTGAAATTATAACTTGCGGTTCGTAACGAAAATTTGACTCGAAATACCAAGTGTGGTATCAAATTATTCGTAAAAAATGCTTTTTCCAAATATGCTAATGAGCTACCCTCGTTCCATTTGAAAAAATTGAGATATTAAAGACACTAAAAACATTAGACGATCAAATCTATTTTTCCTTGATTAAGAATTAGTGTTTTTAATATAGCCATGGCACTCTAGATTGAATTTTAAAATACAATTTTTTATTAAGCGAGAATGTCAAAAGTTGACATATGATATGTCATTCTATTCAGAATGTCATTTTCTATCGAATAAAGTAAAAAAATACCAAGGGTGCCATTTAAAAATCAAAAGTTGTAGTCATTTCCGGTGAAACAGGAAGTGACCAAAAACAATATTTTTTTATCTGAAAAAATAAAGAACTTATAGGGGGTGAGCCACTTTTGAGACGCACCCGATATATATTTATAAAAATCAAAAGACTAATATAAGACTATAATAAAATAGCTTTTCAACGATATATCCATATTCCTTTACCTATATCTTCCAATTTTTTAAGTAGACTATTTAAAAATTAATAATTTTATTATTATAGTCTCATTTCAAAAATTTCGTTACCTTGACAATTTCAGAAATTTAGCAAGTAAAATCTAATTGATACTTATAAAGTTTGAATATTTGTCATAGTAACAATTTTCTTTAAACGAAACAGCTATAATAGAATTAGTATCCTTTTATTGGCTTTACTGAAGAAACCAGATTGTATAGGTATAGGAACATGATATACTGTTGAAAAGGAATAATTTTATTTGGGTTTCGACATAGGCTTTAATTAAAAATAACAATGATTTGAGCGATTTTATAACAAATAGAAATAAATATTTTTTTGATCTCCTTGTTGCATAAATTTGATCCTAAATCAGTGCAAATGTTTTTAGGGGTAGTAGGTATATTTAGAACCCAGGAATACGAATATGGTTTTTTTCGTGAAAAAAAATTGGAATTTTTTGAAATTTTTTTTGGAAATTTTGAATTTATTTTTGGAAATTAGAGTTTTTGGTTAAAAACACAATTTCTTGTTAATATGGCAACATAGGTGTAGTAGATTAAATTTACAAGAAAGAAAACCCAGAAAAGATTCAGTGGTTCTCAAAATTTAAGCAAAAAATCATGTTTTTGCAATTTTTCAAAGTAAAATAACTCAGTTATAATATACACTTATTTGAAAAACGGTAAAAATACAATATGTTTCTTTTATCACTTATTTAATCTTTTATCACTTATTAATTAAAAATATCGGAAGCTACGTTAGTTGTCACTTGTTAAATGTATTTTTTGATGTATCAATGGAAGTAATTTTCCGAAAAGCCACGACATGACTAAAACCCAAATAAAATGACTCAATTAATTTAAAGTTAAAGATGAACGTGCTGACTAAACCTACATTAGTTTTTTTGTTAGGTAATATGTAGATAATAAAATCGATAGTCTCAACTTGGCACCGCTTGGCAATTCCTTAGGGAGTTGGAGTGGTTGCCAAGACGGGCAACTTATTCCCGCTTATGAGTCCTACACCTGTTTGGCTCTGCGAAACTTCCGAATAAATTTAAATATTTATGAATTTCTCCAAATTATGCCTGACATTCTAATTTCGAAAATTTCCAGATTAAAGGTTATGTTTATATTAACTCCGGAATATTTCGGGAGAATATGTAGATGGCAGACTAATGCATAATTTTTCTTCTAATGAACTGTATGTATGAGTATTGTCGGAATAATTTTTTAAATAACAGGGATCTTAACAAAATAGAAGACTAAATCGCCACAATACACTAAAACAATTTTACTTTTACACTGGACGCGCGTTTCGCTAACCATGTTGAATCATCAGCAGATAATTAAAACTGTATGTGTCAAAACGTAGTTTTAATCAACTGCTGATGATGCTAACATGATTAACGAAACGCGCGTCCAGTGTAAAAGTAAAAGTGTTTTGGTGTATTGTGGTGATTTAGTCTCTTATTGCTGTTATAACACCCAGGGTTCCAATCCCCAACTGTAATATACAGGGATCAGTGGCGGCTTGTGACCCGTCTGACTGGGTAGGCGAAAATAACAGCATTCAACGTAATGACATAATGATTGACATAATGTACATCGTAGAAATTTTATTTTATTTTTATTTATTTACGCAAACTTAAAAATTGGTAGTATTGAGAGAAAGAATAATTATATTTTATATATTAAATTGATGAGTAGGTCTCTTAATAAAGAAAAGTTGTTTATTATTATATCAGTAAAATCATCAGATTGTTGAAGAGCTGTGAAAAGATCTTTTTAGATTGAAAGTAAGGCAAGTGACGATAAACGTTTATTTTTCATGGAATCTCTACTATAAATTTTAATGCATTTCAAACATGAAAAATGTCTCTCAACCCAAGTACTTGTAAATGGTGTAGTAACAAACAAAACAAACAATTTGAAAGCCTCTGGAAATATATTTCCAGGATTATTCTCCTTAAATTATTTTATAATCGAAATTATCATATCTACTATTAATACATGCTATTTATTCATTAATTTACGTTGGTCAATAACATTATTTGTTTGTTAAATCACTATTAAATGCGTTGGAGATGTATCAATAATTAACATATTTTTTGCTGTTGTTAAAGTTCACATTTTCCGATAACTACTATCACCCTTTCCGTAGCATTGAACTGGATAATGTTGTGCTTCTTTCACATTTTAAAAGGGCAAAATAATATGACATTAATTAAAATTCTATCGGTGATAATTTATCAAAGACAGAAAACAAAATAATATTACCATTGAAAAGCGTTTTAATTTTGAAAACTGTATGGAAATTTGGAAAAGTATAAACAGGATTAACCATTTTAGAACAAGCAAAAATTTTTATAAAGAATGCATTTTTATAAAAAAATATCAATAATAAAAAAGTTTTTCCTATTGTAAGAACAATCGTACTGTAATATAAAATAATAAATAAAAAAATCTTAGTTTAATCCTAAACAAATGATTTTTATGAATAGTAATTCCATTATTCAAACCCTAATACCCCTAATAGGTATTTCCTTCGTAGGAACAATTAATAATTGATAATTTTAGACATCGTCATAATCCATTATATAACCGCAAGCAATTTAAATTTGCCCTTACTCCCTTTGAACTAAAACAGGGCTTTACTGCGTATGCTCGATGTTTACTCGTACCCAAACCCTTGTCTTAACAAACCGAAAACATTTATCACAGATTTTCTAAAATAATTATTTGTAGAAAACGCAGGAAGTGGGTTACTGGGCCCTAACCCACTACCGACCCTTTATAGACTTATTTACTCTCAGTTAAGGGCTCCGCTTCACTGTTTACGGTCCTTTTGTCCTATACGTCCAGAATAACTTGGACTAAACGGACGATTGCGCCCCAAAGCAAAACAAATAACTGGCTCTTTGCGTAAACTATCCCTTTAGACTGTATAGAGGAATGTAGGGAAGGGTCTCTTGCCCTTTGGATTAAGGTTTTACGTTTCATTTTGCTGTTGCGAGGAGTTGATGAAGTTCGTTACAAAGTTTGGTCGTAAAATGAACATGAAACCTGAGAAAAAGCATTTGCTGAAGACTAAAACGTCTAGACCCTATGTAACTTATTAAAAATTAAAAAACAGTTACCTAAACATTACTAGAAATATATTCCAAAGTAGCATTTCACGACTTGCGACCACATATTTACTAAACAAAACGTTGGATTAATTAAAAAATAGTTAGCTCCGTACCTTGGGTATTAAAATAAATGTAAACGTTGTTCTAACGTTGTGCCGACGTTGAACTAGTACTGCAACAGAGTAAAAGCTTCTGCGACGTCGAATAAACGTTGTCTTGTAACCTTTTTTGCTTAAGTGATCTGTAGGTGATTCGGAAAACGTAGTTACAATGTTGGGCAATAAAGAGTTTTCCGACGTCACTTTCTGGACCTATTCAAACGTTATGCAAACGTCGTGTGTTTTACTAATTCCAACGTTGTTTAGATTTCCTTGTTCTTACGTTGGTAGGACGTCGAGCCACTACCTTTTTGCAACTGTATTGAGCCATAACC